CCATAGTCACTATGCTTATTTAAATATTTGTAGGAAGCTGAACATGTTTAAGAACCTCATTGTTTTTATGTATGTGTAACATGATTTTTTGCTATTGTTTTTAAGTGCAATTTATTTATTATGTTCGTAGTCTGTCAATTTGTAAGTACTTTATTTATTTGGCAAAAGCCGTGAGTGGCTGTCGTAGGAATACAAATTTACTCCTGTTGTAATGCATGTTAATGTTATTTTAAGGATCTTCACAGTTTGTATTCTGTAGCCAAAAATAAATAAATAAAGCAGCAGCTGTTGTTTTTTAAATATAACTGACAAAATTGCACAATTTGATTGTTTTCATACAGATTGATTCTTTTATTAATAAACGTCATAAAATCTTTGAATATTTTATTAGAGAAGTTCAGTAAGGCAGTGCATTTTTCAAGTTTTTTTTTTCATCGTCATCATATCAGCCGGAAGACGTCCACTGGTGAATATATTCCTCCCCCAAAGACTTCCAAACTAGTCGATCGAACGCGACGTGCATTCAACGGTTACGCGCCGCCCTTACCAGGTCATCTGTCCATATAGTAGGGGCCGTCCCACAGAACGCCTTCCGGTTTGTTGTCGATGACTTTCGTTCTTCTACGGATCTCCTCATTTCTGATTCGATCACGTAGAGAAATGCCCAGCATTGCTCGCTCCATAGCAGTCTTTTAAATAGATAAAGCATCCGCTGATGTGTAAAAACCTGCATCAGCAACAAAATTGGTATATAATCATATTACATAAATTTAAATAAGCAACAAACAACAATTCTCTCTTTAAAATCTATCAGCAGCAGTAGAGCTCCTCGTGAAAGAGTTCGCCCAGGAAAGTACTGACACGTTACCTATTTCTGCAGTCAAGCTGTAATGTCAGCATTACTGCGTTCCGATTTTCAAGTGTGCTGGTGAAATTACAGGTTCATGGGACTTGTCAACTTATGCCTTAGACGGTGGCAGTGGCAGTGCCCCTGAGCACTTCGTGATTTAAAGTTCTGAGTGGGATTGCAACTGCTATGGACAGGCGTGTCGCTTACCAGGCGCACGACATGTTCGTCATGTCCGTATATTCAATATCTCTAGTCAGTAGAGCAGTTAAGAAAACATATTTACGGAATTAATGTGAAGAATAATCTTGTAAATGTTGTCGTTATTATTAGGTACTGATTACAAAGAAAATCCGACTGGACTCGACTGTGCCTTTTTCTCTCTGCCTCACTTTGGCTAGAGACTCTGATTTTGAAAGTACATTGATTGGTAACGGAAATCCAACTGTGTGCGTGTGCGAATGGACACTCGGCAGCGTTATTCAATTAGGGCGTACATTCACTGTAGCGTTGCGCGCAAGACATGGCGCATTTTCTCATTTATTCCAAATTCAAATTGACCCTGAGACATAAGTTCACAAGTCCTTAAAAACCGGAACGCAGTGATGTGTGGCAGTGCTTCCGTGGATGAACTCTTTCACAGGGAGTTCTACGGCTATTAGAAACTGAGAAGTCTGGTTACGATTCAAACAATACTTTTTTCTCAAACAACGCCTTATCTGATATAATAATAAATTATAGCTCTAAAATTAACACCATAGATCAATTTCTAAATTGTCTTCGTGGCAACTTTACTGTAATGTAGTCGCCCTGACACCGCTTGCACCAGTGGCGCCGCTGCCGGCACATGCATTTACATAACCTGTGTTCCGCGTGAGTCATACATGCAATCTGACTGCACAGGTTGCTAAATATTGATAATACAAATTTAGCACGGCCTGTTACGAACTGTTTGTGGCTCTGGATTTAGACATTTTGTACGAATTATGAAACGGATTTACGATTTTTGTATTAATTTTTCATAATTGAAGGTTTCTTTTCCATTGAAGTAATTAATTATTAGAAGTAAGAAATTAATTTTAATAAAAAAATTTAAAAATATCTTCATACTTTAAAAGGTACAAATACAACACATAATATTTTCTTGAAACTTAAATGGGACCTCTACTAAGGTAAGTCTCTTTCCAATAAAAAAAGAATAATCAAAATCGGTTCACAAATGATGGAGTTATTGCGTGACATAAACACAAAAAAAAATTTTGAGAACTTGAGAAATTGAGAACCTCCTCCGTTTTTAAAGTCGGTTAAAAGTAATCATCTCTTTGTTGGTATTTGACATTGAACATTACATCAAAAGGGCAGAACATTCTATGTGTGTAGTTGATTTCACAACATTGTAGGTCAGTAAATTGAATTAGATTACCTTGAGTTAAAATGAACAATATAATACAAGTTCAATTGAAAAATTCCTTGGCCTTGCTCTGGGAGGTTATCAGTCTCCCACACGCATGGTGGTCATGGATAGTGTACATGAGCAAACTTAGTGGGGTAAACAGAATGATAAATATGTTAGACTCATTAATTAAACCTAATTTCAGAGCTCACACAAAGTTTAGTATAATATTTACCTTAAACATTTTAACTTTTATGGTTTTATCAACAAGGATTTGTATGACACTATTGAAAATGGATCAATTTCGGGAGAAAGGTTTTAAGTCCATAATACAGGCCCAATTTTAAATATGTGTTTTTACAAGGTCTTGAAGGTATATTTTAACCATACAAAAAGTACATCAATGAACTAACTTTTCGGTATAACGAGAATTTATTCCCTCTGTTTTTTTCAATTGCTTATACCTTAGTGACTTGGTAAATAGTATATAATAAATAGTAAATTTATTAGAAATTGTAGAAACTGATAATAACATAATATTTTTGACATATTTAAGAAAGGTGATTGACTAATCCAATCATCATCTCTCTAACATAGCAATGGGATGGTACACTTTCAAAGCTCAAATTACTTATCTAGCTTGAAGACAACTTTTATGACATTAATTTTTAACAAAATTAAGCTGCCTCTGTGGCCAGGCGACTACCACGCCAAGTAGAAGGTCTAGGGTTTGATTCCCGGGTCAGGAGAAATATTTTTATGGCCTATATTTTGATACCTCCAATGTACACACGCCAGCACATCAAGCTACACATTGTCGTATCTTGTTCCATTGCACTGGAGGCGATTTTCGAACAAAAATGCGTAGTCTGATGTGCCGTTGTCTATACACTACTTACTATTATTATGCTTCTCGAATTATGTGAACAAAAATAAAAAAACAAAAACCTGAAAAAAACCAGAAAAAAAAAATTCGAAAAAAAAACAAAGAAACGAGTTTTGTGAGAAAAATAATAAAGAAACAAAATATGAGCAAAATAATAAAAAAACAGACCAGGTCCAAAAATTAAGTTGGAGGTATTGATTTATATCTATCTTTCGAGAGTTTGGGTGTAAATTGTAGTTGTCAATGTGTGTGTCCATGGCACCCGTGATGCAGGGTTTCCCTAGTGCAGGGCTACGACTGTGTGTGTTATTGCTATTACAAAAACTTGATTTAGAAAATTCAAGGAAATGTTAAATTGCAGTTACACAGTTATCTTGTGTTAGTATTAATTAACATAACCATTGTCTTTGCATACTAGTGCTTTACTCAGGAGGAAATTAACAGTTCAGTTTTATAAGTAATATACCAATATTAGTTATCATTAAGTCTTAACTGGAAGCTGATAAGGAATAAGAGTAGTTACAGTAATTTAACCCTATAACAGTAAAAGATAAAAACATGTACTAATAAACTATGCAACAACATGTACTTTTCAAAGCATGTTGTTATTATTATAGTTTTGTACCTGAAAGAGCTTCGGTGACATTGATATGAAACAATTATTATGCTCTTAACTATCACAAATATCTAAAGGTTTTCTGACAATCTTTTAACTATTATAGAAGGTACCATACAAGTCAGGATTCATGTACCAAATTTGTCCATTTAAATATATGTTCTTTATTGTACAAAGAAAAGAGACATAAAACACACATTACAATGGACATATACAAAGGTGAGCTTATCTCTATCAGAGATCTCTTACAGCCAACCCTAGCCGTGGTGCAAAAATGAGGTCTGTGGGACTAATTATTGCACAACAAAATTTAAATTTAAATGAAATTCAATATCACCTCCTGTCAGTTGCATCATTTATGATTTTATGACTTGTTGTGGTCACAAAAGCAATTGTACAAGTGCTGAGTGTGTGACAATCCAAATTTGAAAATGCTAACAATCATATAATGTGAAAATCGAAAATTAAAGTCCTGTTTTTTTTTAATTATGAATGCTATTTAGCCTTGTTTTTTTAATTTTTAAGTCTTGATTTATTTTGAATGTGTTTTTAGTATTTTAATTTTGGTATTAGTGGAATCTTTTGTGTGAAACCTGTATGTGGTTAACACTCAATAATTGTACTACTCTCCCTAGAATAGATGTTACAATCAATTTTGAGAACATTTATGAGCTTAGTACATATTTTGTATTTTATATAATTAAATAAGAAAGCTTTGTAGCTTAAACAAGCTTCTATATCCACAATGAATTATTATTATTATTACTGTTATTATTATATTACCTAGTTATAACCTAGTTATTATAATATCTAATAATATATTAGACTAAGAATAATATTATACATATTTATTAGGAAGTTGGAAGTTAGATAACTATTTCTAGAAAAGGAAGACCTGGATATAAACTTCAAATATTAAATATTTATATTACATGGATTTAAAACTTATTGTTATTAGAGTATTGGCAATACAAAAACAAAATTAAATAAAAATTCAACCAAATGCTAAGATGATAACAAACCGTTATCAGTTAAAAATAGGTTTCATAAATTAATTTTATAATTACGAACTCTGATAAGGCGCCGGCGGAACTTAATCATTAATTCGACTGCCCGATGTATCGACGCCGTAAACAGTAAATACAGCTTGCCATCACTTCCACCCTAGAGATGCGAAGGTGGAAAAACGAACTATAAACAACATCGAAATTCTAACATAAAGTTGTAGGTTTAATAGTGAAATTGACGCTTAACATACCTTGGGATACAGTTGGAAGGGGTCCTGTCCACTTCCCAGGCCGCAAAAAGTTTCATAGGAACAGGTTTCGAAGCATTAGTCATCTTTTCAGATTTGTTTTTCTCGGTCATCGTAGCGACATAAACACTCTCACACTACACTTAACTGTTGGATGGTTGCATTGTTATTTGATAACTAAACACGGCACTGGATTCATTTTTTACGATACGCAATATGCAATTAACAACGAAGCAGACTGCACTCACAACAATATTCAATAAACTTTCGCAGGCTTCGCAGCACGGAGCAGGCAAGCATCAGCTACCAGGCGTTCGATACGATTGACAGACAGCTGCTCGGTGTTGCCATAATTGGCTAAAATAACATCCCAAGTAAAATTTCTCCCAATACAAGACTACAACGAACGTCCAATAAGCTATTACGGAAATTGAAAACACAAAACAAAGTGGTTTTTTCATTATTAATTCATTTTGTCTAAGATTGTTTGACCCCATTGTTTACCAAAGCATAGTGGCGAATTCAATCATTTTGAAACCGTTAGTTTAAAAATGTTCGATAACTTTCACTTGAAGTCGGAATAGACATAACTCTCCAGTTAAATATTGTACCCGGGACAGAATAGGAATAATATTTAACTGGACGCTAAGCCTTCTCTTAACATTAATAGTAATTACTTATAATGCTTTCAGCAGTAATAGGTAATATATACGTTTACAAATTTACAAAATTTTCGGCAGTTAAGCTCGTTCCAAGTAAATACAACGTTGAAAGAATTTCGAAAATAAGAGTTTTACCATTAAGACTATGAATACTTGTGACTCTGAAATTAATCGTGCTTGAAAATCCATCTAACTACCTCTGCTACACTACAGTGTCGTTGACAAATAGTTTTTTTTTTTCTCCAAACACTTAAAAAATCACGTTTCCTTCACGTCCCTTAACCTTGGTTTGTCTGGGTGCTGCACAATCCTCTTTTCTCGGTTGTACAAGATTCAGGTCGGAAGAGGTTATACCTATAAACATAAGACATAATAATAATTTTATAACTTACATTATAAAATTGATAAAATAACAAAAAGAATAATGCGTATTTACTACGAAATAATTTTGAATGTCGGTAGAAAAAAACAAAATAGCAAATATTGTAAAACGTAACACAACAGATACAATTTTTGAACTCGCTTGATATCGTTCAAGCCCGTGCTCGTACTTCATGCACAAATTACATTAAATCTCTAACGGACAAATTTTCTTAAAATGTTTTTTAATATAACGTTTCAGATTCAGTTTAGGCTCGTGAAGAAGAATTTTGTTTTTCGATTGGTCCTGTTAACGATTTATCAACTTACAATTGTTGTAATCATTCACATTTCATATATTTATTATTGTGTTTCATTTCAATGCTATTCATTGACATCATCTCGCATCAAATCCAGCCATCAGTCGGCCAGATGACACATAGATAAAATAGATAAGTGTGGAATCCTTGAAGTTTAGACAAAGAAAACCCACCGTCAAATTGACGAATATTATGGTAAAATTTTTCAATGGCAACATATTTTACTGCGTCGTTTTATACGTCAACAACAGATGTCACCTTTATAGATGCGTTCATTTTTAATGCTCATATGTAGGTCAAACGCATTCATAATATTATTTTGCATCTTCAAATACCAGCAAAATAAATAAAATAAAGTTGCACCCAATTGTCATAATGTCAGATTGCATGGGAAAATCGCACTGAAAAAATCCGTCACTCGTCCAAATTCACTTCTTTTCAAATATGAAACAGTTCGAATGTTGTAACATGGTTAATAATATGCTGACGAGACAGCTTAGTTTATGTAGGAGACCATTATATTTATATTTTAAAAAGAAAATGCTTCTTTTAGAACTAAGTGACATTTGGAACTAGAAATACAAGAAATGTAGGGTGATATATAACGTCAAACAATTTTATAAAATAAAAAAACTTTAATAAAAACATATTTTGTTCACCAATACTAAAACTAGAAAAACTATCAATCACAATATAATGGCACTAAATAATACATAATTACTTGCAAGTAGATTTTTGTTCGATACACATGAATAACAATATACCTTGTGAAAATTCCTTAAAATACGAGATAAGACTAGAAGAGGAATTACTTAACTATCTTACATGGAATGTAAAAGAAAAGTATAAAAATGTAAAATCTTAACACTATATATTTTTTATGACCTACAATCAAAGTGGTCACACAATTATCCCAAAGAGTCCACATATTGAGTACACATTCCTGTATTTAACATTTAGCAGCATTATCTACGCATATAATTCTTTTATCATATTATACACATAGGGCAAAAAAAAATATGTTTACTTTTTATTGTTCCACAGTTTCAAAATATTTCATAACATAATGAAGCTAGTGCTAACTTTCACTAAACCTAACTTAAATATTATAGGTAGCAGTTACAAAATTCAATCTACTTTATAATAAAAAATAAACAATAATACATCTTGTATCACCTCTAGCCTGCAAGATGGAAACGGAATGCTTGTGAACAGTAACCAACGTTCTGTTTCTGATAACTAAGGTATTAGCAAATATTACATAAAGAATACTGCGTAGTTCTGAACAGGATATCAATGAAGTTGTCATACTAAATTGGGTGTGTACCAATGTGTGGACGGGGCGTTTCATTTGGAGATTTCAGGAGGGCAGTCAGGCTGGGAGGAGGGGTGGGCAGCGCGGAACGCCGGGTGGTTCTCCAGTTCACGGTCGATACGTAAGATAATTGGAAACGGGCGCAGGTCTACGTGAAATCTGGAAAAATGGGCCGGTTAGAATGTTATTTTAAAGTTATAGATTGGAACCACAATGATGTTGATGTAATTTGTATATTTCCATAAACATCTGTGTTAATAAGACAAATTTCTTTAGTAACCAACTTTTCACATAGGTAGGAGTAAACTTCGAATCGCCAATGGACTGTCTGCATGTGTATTCATTACTATGATTATTATGATATTAAACAAAAGATTACCTTCTAGCATTAAAAACCTGCGGCACAAGGCAGCAATCAGCCAATGTAATTTCATCTCCAACACAATATTTGCCAGCACAACTAGACAACAATTTTTCAACGGCCCTGAATCCCCGTGTGATCCAATGCTGGGCCCATTCTTTCTTCTTCTCTTCACCTACGTAGATCAGGACTATGAGATTTTGGAGTGGCTGGATGCCTGACGAGATAACCTGGAATTCAATTAAGGTCATAGAATAAATGAGAAATCTGCAATAAGGTATTTTTAATCTAATAAATCCATATATTAGTGGTAAGGTTTGCAAGCGAAATTTCTTTATTGGATTTGACTCCATATTACATATGTCAGGTCTTTAAAACAGTAATAACATTATTGCAGTCAATTTTTCAATGAATTATGTACTTGGTACTTGGTGCAACGGGCTGGTATCTGCTACTCGACGACAAAGCACCTATTTTACGTGTGGAATGAATTATGTAACTCATCATCCAATTCACGTAACATGCAGAGTCTTATACTAAGACAAAAGTAAAATGATAGTTTATGGTATATGTAAAAGAAATCATACATATCAAAAAACAGTACATACTTCGCAAATCTCGCGCACTTTGGCTCGTTTGTAGCAATCTTGAGGCATCAATGGTCTTTGCGGCCTGGACTCCTCAAGGTAATGCATTATGCTTAGAGATTCAATGAATGTATGCCCATCTGGAATAAAAATGTAATCTAAAATTTTGGAACATAACGAAAATTTTGGAATGTCCTCCTAATTTTGTACAAAAGTTTTTGCATAAATTATGAATAATCGTAGTAAGTACTTTAAAACATTCATGCAAAACTGCTAGAATAATCATACCTATACAGAGTGAAGGCACCTGTTCCATAGGATTGACCTCTCGGTACTCATTGCAGTGTTGTTCGCCCCCTCCCTTGATGAGGCTCACAGCTTTGATGTCATATGGGATCTCTTTGAGGTTCAGAGCGATCCTCACACGCCATGAGCACGAGCTTCGCCAGTAGGAGTAAAGTACTGGCTGAAATAAAATTTATTTGCAAATTGAAGTTGAGCACTTCTTTGTATCCGAAATTCAAACTTGTGAAATGAAAAAGGAATTAAATTTGATAAAGGAAACACACACACATTCATACAATAATGCTTTACGTATATACCGTACGTACTTAAAATTTTTCCTTCCAAATTTTTTTACAAACAAAGAAATATAGATATAGTTGAAAATAAGTAGGTACAATAATATAGTTAAATTTATCAATATGAGCAATCAACCTTAGTCTCAAGAATTTCACCCTTTTCGGACATTTTACAACGAATCGCACAGTTTAAATAAACTAAGTGTACTAAAATGAGAATTGCCTCCGAATCGCAGCCGGTCCATACTACAAATAAGTTTTTAAATAGAACTAACTTGACTTGTCAACAGGTTTATTTGAATAACAAGATAAACGAGTAAGTATGCAAATTTAAATGCAAAGATTAAAATCGAGCATAAACAGGCGTCGACTCTACCGTTCGATTAACATACGTACCTTGCTCATGGCGGAGCTGTTGCCGTTGTATTTGGGATAGTAACTAATTTTGACGTTATCTGTTCACTTTAGTTTAAATAAAAACACTGCTTTTGATAAGAAAATGCAATAAACGGTGCCGATCCAAATTGCCAAAGTCTTATCAGCAGAGTTTTTATCAATTCATTGCAATGTTTGGATATTTTCACGCAACAACATACTACATAATTAGAATAGTTATATTTTTTATTTTTCATACGGAATAAGGTTTTATTCTTTACTTAGAGTTTACAAGCAGAAAGGAAAATATTATAAGAAGAAATTATAATTCTTGGTAAAGATAAGTTTTTTATTTCATAATCATAATAATCATCTTAGTTTCCAGCAGTACTTGGCGAATGTATCCGACCCTCAGCTGATCTGTTCTGAAAGTCAAATGAATGACGTTTATAGAGT